GGAGAAAGCAATCCTAAAATTCATATGGAACTAAAAGACCTGTAACAACAAAAGCACTTCTGAGCAACAAGGGCAAGGCAGGGGGTGCCACAGTCCCAGACTTCAAGTTATATTACAAATATACAGTTATAAGAAGAACATGGTATGGAGTGGGGGAGGTTACTTCTGGATCAATGGAACAGAATAGAAAATACAGAAGCAACTCCAGGAACACTCAGCCATGGATTCTTTGACAAAGTTAGAAAATCCCTTCACTGGAGGAAAGACAGCCTCTTTAACAAATGATGCTGGGAAAACTGGCTATCCACATGCCAAATGTTGAGCCTAGACCCAAATCTCTTACCGTGCACTAAAACCAAAATGGAACAAAGATCTAAATATTAGAATAGAAGCCCTTAATCTATTGGAAGATAAATTAAGTAAAACTCTTAAAAACAAAGGTGTAAGCGAAGATTTTCTCAACAAAATCTAGTTGCATAAAAAAGCTTGGCACAGCAAAGAAAACCACCAATAAATTGAAGAGAAAACCTATAAAATGGGAAAAATACTTTCTATCTACTCCTCAAACCAAGGATTAATATCTAGAATATGTCTCAAATGTGTGACCTATTTCTGTGTACTTTCTAAAATAACAATTACTGTGAATATCATTTCTTCCAACCTTTAATATTAAAATTTTTCTCTCATCTTTTACAATGATTTTTGTCAGATTGGAGATACTAATTCAAAACAGACATATCAATGATTTAAAACGGAATAACTAAGCAATATAGTATTTATTGATACTCCCTTGTCAAAATACTACTATATGATTCTAAAAGTTGCAGTATTCCATCTTGATCAACCAAGAAGCAAGCTGAAACTAAGAATGGCCCTGCTCTACAGAGCAGTCAGCAACTCCATTGGCCAGCTTTCCTGCTGCTGACATACACAAGCCTAAGGAGGAAATGATGACTTCATTTTCCTCGGGTTTCAGGGGCTTCAGTTTGTGCTTGGCTAGCTCTAAAGCAGGAACATCATGAGAAAAAGGCTGCTCACCTCATGGCTTTCAGAAAACAGGGCACAAAGTCAGAGAACTAGGCAGAAGAGATACCCTTCTGTCCAGGACCCAGTGACCCATCTCCAACTGCAACAGCATATTCAGCAATGAACGCAGAGGATGAAAACAGCACCCACATAATCCAATCACCTCTCCAGGAATCTCTTAATCCACTTAAATTGATAATTAAGATTAACTGGCACAGCAAGTCTGATTAAACAGCTAATGAACTTCCTGCTCAAACAATTAATCATAACATACAATTACCTTGAGTAGAATATGTTGTAAAATGTTAAGAGTGTTAGACAAGGTAACAAGATGTAGTAAATTATAAAAGCTGTAACTTCAAACATGAACAACTGAGAAAAACTACAGATCTTCTATGCCAGAGTTACAATATAAATGCTGATTAAAAAAACGAATATCTATATTCAACATACTCTTAAAGGAAAAGTAGAAAAACACTACTTTTTTTCCTCTGAGTGGTTGTATCACAAGGTAAGGAATATGAAACTTAGAAGCAGGCTACCAATTTTTAAATCTAAACTTTGCCACCTGCTATTTGTAGGATTTCAGGTAAGTTGAACTGTCTCCATTCTTAAAGCTTGTATAGTGGATACTACACCCTCAGCAAACTGCTGAGACTCACTGCTGTGGTTTGGACACGGTTCATCCTCACAGGCTCATGTGCTGCAGGGTGTGAGGTACCAAAGCTTTAAGAGGTGCAGATCAGTGGAAGGATACAAGGTCATGGGGGTAGCACCTTCACAAGGTATTGACCAGCCCAATAGAACAGATTAGTTTCTGTGAGAGCAAGTCGCTATGAGGGAGCCTAGAAGATCTCACGAGTCCCTCTTCCACACGCACCACATCATTGTCTCTTCCAGCTTCAACAATCGTAACTCTTCGACTGATGCTGTGAGCCACCCAATTAATCTGATTTTTCTTTTAACTTTGATTACTTTGAACTATAGAACACGAAGTAATATTACACCTTTGGATGTATGTAATGGAAAATGAGACATTCTCAAGGGTAAAATGCAACTGGTGAACTAGCTTCAAAATGCCAGTTCAGATTTTTTAGTTTCCAAAGCATTTGTACTTACTTAATTTGACCACTATAATAATCCACACTATAAATAAAAAAGCTCTGACATATTATCCCCTAACAAAGAGCTGCACTAAAAGCCAAGTCTGCTCAAAAGCATTTTTCGGTATGTCATATAACTTGTGAACAATAAATTTCAATTGGTAATTTACTTCAATTCAGCATACAGGATTGTAAATGATAATTTAGTAGCACAAGATTCTACATGGGCAAGTTATCTACGAGAATTTATTGTTTTGAAAAAAACACTTCATTTGATTAATTAGCATGACATCCTGAATAATTAAATGATTTATGCAGCAGAAATTCCACCTAAAATGAAAATAATGCAAATCTGTAGTATATCAGATTTGGATGCCATTCAAATTGGCCAGTTGTGGTGGTACATCCTTACAATCCCAGCACTCTGGGAGTCCGAGGCATGAGGATCTCAAGTTCCAGCCCAAAGGCAATTTAGAAATTTTGCAAGACCCTGTATCAAAAAAAAAAAAAACTTAGAAAAAGAGCTTAGGGCTTACAGTAGCATAGTGCAGAGACACTGAGTTCTATTCCTACCACAGAAAGTGGACATGAGGATATGAGACTATCCTCTGGGAGGAGACTGTCATTTCTGGAGTAGTCCCGAAAGATCTGCAGGAGCTTGACAGAGACCCGTTTCCAAGCATTTCCCCCAAGTTTCCAGCCTTAAAAAGCCTTCATGGAACTCTAGCATGTGCAACTGTCATGACATCTACCTCTGAGCCACTTCCATCTGCACTTCGCATGTTCTAACCCCAAAGAGCCACTCGACATATACACAAAGCCCTTCACCAGCAATAATTCCTGTTAGCAGCTCAAAAATAGCTCTAAACTCTATTCCCTTTCTACCTTGGGAATTGAGCTCTCCCTGCCTAACAGAGTCCTACCAGACTAGCAATTTCTCCAAATCTCACCAGGATGGAAACTGACACCTTCTTCTTTCCAGCATGGTGGAGTGGGTTGGATCATCAGGTTCTGATCACAAGTTGCCAACCAGTTAATTGAACCATGCTCCCAGCTGTATCCCCCAAATCCCTCAACTCCCACCTGTCTGTATGGCCGTACCTCATGAATTCATTGTCAAAATCTACTGAAGTGGGATTCATGTCGCCACCTGCCTTAGAACCCAACATTGGTAGTATCTGCCATATGCCTGTAGAGCTGTAAACCTTCCTCATTTCTCTGAGTACTCCACAGAGTTTCCTAAATTCCACTAGCTTTCCTCTGTTCTGATGCGCTATATTGTTTTTCTCTTTCATTCAGTACTGTAAAACCACACAGCCTGCAGAAAATGAGCCACCCTCTGCTGTGGGTTATGTATGACCCAGCACACTTCATATATATTTTTCCCTTTGAGTAGCTGGAACATACTGTGTAAACAATATTAGTAGTGCTTAAGGAATCTCTCATGTCTGGAACAGACTCAAATTTTAGAATGTATACCAAAAGGAAACAAAATTATGACACGTTGTATTTCCCTAGAGTGCTGAAAAGAGTCTCTGAAGTTCTTGTTTCAGCAAAAGGCCTGGCAGATCTCATTGACAAATCCTACAATTTAAAGCTAGCTCAGTTTTTCTTCCAGTGTTTGAGTGACAACAGAACTGCAAAAGCAAACTTTACTCCATTTTTCTCATCCCAGCAGGACAACTGCTCCCCAGGAAAGCAATTATCATCGTGAATCAACTGTAAAACACACAACCATTCTAAGTGACTGAAAGAGGTGGCATTCATGCTGAAATGGGAGGTCACCCTAGACACTTTTGAAGTAGCAGAACATACACAGAGAGGAAGCAGAGTCAGACTCCTGTGAGCATTTTAAAAGATTCATAGTGCAGAGCGTTCAAATAAGAGAATTCCCTCAGGTCAGTATTTGAGGTTTCTTTGCATATCTGCTTGGATATAATTTTAGGTCTAAATGAAAGCCAACATCTCCATGATAAGAAACAAATTACTCCACTCCAAGTCCCTAATGACATAAACAATCACATCTGGCTTTCCGTGACGCAGCATTTAGCTGGGAACATTTTCCCTTACTTTATAACATGCATAACATGAAAAAAATTATACTGACACACAGCTCAGACTCATTTAAATTATGATAATTTAAATACAAATTTTTAATTTTTTGTGTAGCACTAAAATAATAGGATTTCAATCTCATGAAATAACTGACATTCAAAATTATCATAACTGAAAATATCTTAAAGATTACAAACCATATTCTTAATTTGCTTTTTTGTCCTTTTTAAAATCTGTCTTTAATGCACAAAGTAACATTTTTATCTTGAACAGACTTCAGAAATCAAATTATGATAAGTTCTTTCATTGTAGAATTGAAGAAATTACAACATAGAGAAAGTAGGTGAATTTAAAATGAAATTCAATATAAAAGCCCTAAGTGAGAGTCTGAAAATATTACAGCACACATACTGAGTTTTATTCTCTTGAGGATTTCCATTCTTTTTTCTCATTCTTTACTCTCTTGAGGATGCAGACCATGTACTTGTTGGTCCGAGTTAATACAGAAATAAAGGGTAATTCGTGAGATACAAATTATGAAATAGAAAAGCTCAGGGCTCACACAGTATCTACTGGCTCCATAATAAAACATCTCAGGTTAAGATAATTGAATTAACTGCCATTTAAAAAATATTTTTAAAAAATAATGAAAGCAGTTTTCAGAGTTGACTGCAGTCCTTTGGCAGTATCTGGAAAACCACCACACAGGGCCCCCTCCAATGTTAACAACTTTGCTCCTAGTGGTAGCCTCACAGGACTGTCTTCAGTCCACATAGTTTTGAAATTCAGTCCTACACTCGAGCCAAGTGAATGTACCTCCCAGCCTTCAATATGAGACTGCCATTCCTCCAGAACCTCCAGCTTCTCCATTTGCCTCTTGGCCTCGTTTATGCTGGAACAGACGCCCTTCATCGCTTGGAGGGCTTCAGTCACTGCTGCATAGTCGCTGTGCTTCCGTGGAGTCCTCTTCAGCAACTCCTGTGTACACACACAAAAAAAAAAAACCCGAATTGCTTTCTGGTCATCAGTCTTCTGGTACATCAGGCTACGACGCACCAGGAAATGAAAACGACAAAGCTCATGGCAGCCACTTCCTCAAGGACATCACAAATTCCTCTAAGATAAAGATCAGAAAGAAAGGTCGAATCAATGAATAAGTGTTACTGGAAGGCACATTTTGTAGTTATATTACTTTTCACGTTCTTTTACTTTTGTTTTTAAAAATGAAGTTACTCCTCTTCTTTCAAACCATGAAATAAATCACATGGGCATGTCATTCTTAAATTTTGACTTTTGTTTTAACAGAACAATGAATAATATGAATGTGTTCGTTTCATTTTCCTGGAGTTTTTAACAGAATAAATCTTCAAATAAATGTGTCCCAAAATTTCATAATAATATAAATCCCTCTTTCCTAACATTGTCTGAGAAAGTATTAAAAAAATGTAAGTTAAAGCGAAATCTGTAGATGTCTTACACTCTAGCAAAAGAAATATTTTATTACAATTTTATAATATTTCATCATTAAAGGAGTAATTTATATTGTTGTCATCGGTTTTTTAGGTTAATTCTCTGTGATGAAGAAATACTATATACCCAATGGTTTACTTCTTGTTTTTGATATTCAGGATCTTAGGAGGTTTTTCTATTTATATGTTTTCTACTCAGGATATCAAAACTACAGTAATCTTTAATTCTTTAACAAGGTCCGGTTGGCTGTTGTTTAGAAGCACAAATTAAACATCTTCACCCACTGTCTAGACAGTTGTGACCACATTACTTTTTAATTAGTCATTTGTTTCTTTACTCCAGTTGCCAGCATCATGGAACTAACACAATTACAAAGGCCCTGAGGCCTCTCTTCAAAAGAATGTTCTCAATCTTCAAAAATATAGTGGAAATTCAGGCTGGGTTTTTTTTTTTCTTTCTTTCTTTTTGTTTTTGTTTTGTTCTTTTGAGACAGGGCTTCATCATGCACTATAAAATGGCCTTAAACTCATTAGGTAGCCCAGGCTGCCCACAAATTCATATTCTCCAGCCTCAGCCTCCGGAATTCTGGGTGTGTCTCACCACGCCATCTTGTTTTGACACAGCCAGTTCTTATACCCTCTTGAATTCCCTGAGTGTGGAAACTTTTCCCATAAACTCTGACCCTGTTTTCACTATGTTCGCACTCCACTCTGCACAGTTAACACCACAAGAATACACAAGACACCACTCCCAGGACAAGGTTTAAAATGTTATGATAGCCCACAGGTCCATAAAAGAGACACACAGGCTTCTCTAGAAATTCTACATAGTAAGCTACGTGAAGCAACCAAGTCATTCCGAAGGCCAGGAAGTGAGACCATTAAGGAATGCTATCCAGTGGGTTTTGTACAGCTGTAAAATGAATTTAGATAATGTAAAACACAAAAATAAATAAGCAGTAAAAATCTAGCAACTATTTGCTATAAAGCTGGCATTGAATGGTCAAATGTGTGTCAAGTTTCACAAATAAGACCAATATATCTTTTTTGTAATACTATAGCACAATCTGCAATTACTTTCTCTGAATAATAAGCCCATCTCAAGTTGAAGAGAGCCAGACATGGTGATACATGCCTATAATCCCAGCACTTGGGAGGCTGAGGCCAGGGCAGCCTGTGCTACATAAGCCAGTTCAGGGCCAGCTTGTACTACACAGTGATATCCTGTCTGAAGTAATTAATTAATTAATTAAAGAGAATCTCAGCACAGCTTTTCAGCTGAAAGTACAGAACATATCTTATGGTAGAAAAACATTTATGATGGTAGTGAAAATGCATTTGTACTTCAATTTTATAATACATCTTAAAAAGTAAATCAATAATAATACCAATTAAAATAGCAATAGCATTTCTTTTTTAATTTGTTTGTGGTTTTGTTTTGCTGTGACAAGTTCTCACTGTGTACTTCAGGCTGACCTTAAGCTCACCACATAGTCCAGGCTGGCCTTGAACTTGTGGAGATCCTCTGGCCTCAGCCTCCCAAGTGCTAGGATACAAGTCTACAACACCATGTCCAGCTAGCAATAGAATTTCTGAGTGTTTTTTTAAAATGAAGATTCCAATTAGTAATTAATACATTAAAATAAATCAAATAAACATGAGTATTAATGGCTAATATAGAGCATATACTATGTTAAATAATTCATATAAAATAGTTAAATCATTTTATACTCCTATATATGCATGTAAATGCATACTCACACACAACATGCACATATATATACACATACATGTATACATATGTACATTCCTATAAGTACCTGCTGATTTTGTCTTTTTATGTTTGATAAATTAAGAAAAAGTCTTTGTAGGTTAGATCCCATTCAGAAAGCTGGTTAGCAGAGTACCTGGGGCTCCTACCCAGAGATCATGTGCTCAGCTAGCGCCTCACACTGCCTCTCCTGATGCCGCATGCCCAAAAAGTATAGTTTCAAAAACTAGTACAGCGACCTGTCCGTAAAACTTTGCAGCAATGCCAACAGGTAGTGCTGTATAACATATTTGTCATCATAAAAATATTGGTAACTGCAACAAAGAGACAGAGTAACAAGCACCCGCAAAGCATTCTGCCTCTGAGAGGCAGCATTTTCCAAGCACCTCTTGCACAGTCTGCCGTTGACAGCCCCATGTAATCCCTGACATTCCATTACAGCAATGATTCACAAACCAGGGCCTGAAATTATGTAATTTTGACCTTAATTTCATTAGCATCATAAACTTACTGAAGTTTGGGAGACGGAAAAACATATCAATAGTGAATTTGCTTAAAATAAAGGGCCTCATTGCTAAAGTGGTACATAAAATAGTCATAATGGACTTAATGGGATCTCTGTTGAAATCAATGCATTTGTGCTGAATGCATTCAGAATAACTCAAGCAAGTAGGTTTTCCACAAATAGCACTAAAAGCTCAGTTTAGTGGCTTTTCCACTAAAGATCTGCTTCTTATTCCAAAGAAAATGTGTGATAAAGTAGCTATTTTTCCAATAATTATGGTCTGTCTTTTTTTTTTTTTTTTTAGAATGTCAGCCTCTTCAATAATAATTCTTTCAAAAGATTATCAGGAAATAGGCCATTTCAAAGAAAATTCTACAATGAAGTAGTACATAAATACCTTCAAAAGGAGAGGGTACTTGCATATCCTCTGTATGGGGGTGACCAAGTAGCCTTCCAGGGGGACATCTGTATTGTTTCGTCCTCCAAGCAACATGCAGTTCTGGGTGAAAATACACAGAATCAAGTACAGTACATTTTTCAAACTTAAATTGTCTTCTTTCAGGAAAGTTTATACCAAAAATTTATGAAAAGAAATATCCTCAAATACTTTCTCTAAGAAAAACATACTCTTTTCACTTATAAATAACATAGTCTTTCATATTGGTTACAGAATGCACAATACATGTTGAATCTACAAAAATTACTTCATAAATATTCTCTGCAGTTTGATGTGTGAGAAAAAAGGTAAATATAGTGACAAATAGTAAAGATAAAGAGATGGAGAGAGGGAGAGGGAAGGAGCCAAAGAGGAAGAGAAAGGGAGAGAGACACAAAGCCAGAGAGAGGCAGAGAGACAAAAAGGTTTTGTTCATAGAAACCAGTATCTTATGTTGTGGAAGAGCAGGTATAAAGAGGTATACAGACAATGAAGTTACAACTTCTAACTAAGATCCACCACTGACTACTGATATTCCTTCAGCTGATTTCTAAATTCTAATTTCCATCTAAGCAAAACTCATGTGTTTTAGGCAAGCGATCGCTAAATCACACTCTAACAAAGACCTCAGGTAGCCAGTCGCAGAGAAGGAGGCCACAAAGATCTCCAGAGATCAGGAAAGTCAAAAAATATAAAAACAAGCAAACATAGACAAGTGAGTTTCTACTGACTCTAAAATAGCGATCAAGAGAAAAACTAAGTCAGATAAATAAAGTCTTCATCATCCTAAACAGTATAAAGAAAAACTAGACCTAAAACTTGCACAGATCTTATTTTTGAGGTGTCTTTCTGAGTTATTTCCATAAAAGAAGTACTTAACATCTAATGAAATGAACTGATAAAATAATACCTTCTACAGCGCTATTTTAAAATACTGTTTTAGAGACCAAGAGCTGAACAGGCCAGGCTGTAAAAGGAAGACCAGGGTGCAAAACGATCTCCTCCCCTCACCTCGGAAACTTCTCTTCAGCCTCAAGTAAGCAGAACAAAAGCCATGAATGTAATTTCACTCGGACACCTCAGAAGGCAGAGCAGCAAATGTCATGTTCTTACGCACACAGCACACTCCTGAGGGATTCTTTCTCTGCCACAATCAGAGTATCTGGATATCTTCAAGTTATGCATGGTATTTTCTCCCCAGAAAAAATCTCTAAAATCATAATTATCTTGGTATTATCTACATATTTCCAGTAATGTTTCAGGATCTGAACATGACTTAGCACTCCTATCAATGAGACCACTCACTACCTAGCTCTGGGCTGTAGAGCCATAAAAGAACATGCAACCACCCAAACTATTTCCTTTTTTCTTTGTATTAAACAGATTATAAACTCCCCGACTGCAAAGGCTGGTCACTATCTAAGACTGGATTAGCATACAAACTATCCCAACACATAATACATACATACATACATACATACATACATACGTATGTAAGTACGTACGTACGTACAAGGCATGTATCTTAAATAAGTTTCCAGAGATTTTGCTGATCATAAAACTTACAATTTTCACCGCATAACCAAGGAACTATCATTGTGCACAACCCGAAAACTAACTAGAATGATCATTCCCTGCAAACTTGGTCAGCTTAGAGAAATCAAGGTAAGTGCACTCATGCAAAAGACCTAAGAAAGTTCCAGAGGATGGGAGGCCTGAATTCACATGCAAACTACCTGCCTTCTGACTTCTACTCAGTTGCACGTATAAGATGGATCATAAAGTTTAATTACTTTGGACAAATCATTGGCTGACTGTTCAGAAAAACAGTCAGAAAGCAGAAGTGATTCCTAACCAGCAAAGCTAAATTATAAAAATAAATAAGCAGAGATATTATGAGTTGCACATTTAAGACAGACAGGTTTTTAGATTAGGGTTGAACAATTTACTAAAACAAAACAAATGACACACACAAATAAAAAATAGTAACTACTTGCAGGTAGTTGAAAATACAAAATTCAGAATTGCTACAGTTACTTTTCTCTCATTGCTGGGACCAAATACCCAACACCCAAAGTTAAAGGAGAAAGGTTTATTTGGCTCAGTTTGTGGTGGTTTCCATATATTATCAGCTGGCACCCAGACAGGGTGGCACAAGGCAGAGGGGCAGCAGTTCATGGCGGCAGAGCGCAGCAAAGCAACAGCGAAGCTCAGCAGCATCTTTCTGCCCCTTTTACACTCTAGTCAGGCTGTTAGGGTGAGGGTGGTGCTGACCAAATGACCTCACACCCTTAAGCCCAGCATCACTCACTCTTGTTTCGGCCACCTCTGGAAAGTCCTATGACCACATGAGGTTTTGCGGGTACATCTACACACAAATCACAAAATACAGTGATTCATTTAGATGTCTAGCTTATAGTAAAAAGTTATGAGATGCACAAAGGAACAGGAAAATATGATTCACACACAGTCAAAAAAAAAAAACCTCTGAATGTACCCAGTTGTTGGATTTAGAAAAGAAAGAATTCAAAAATAGCTATTATAAATATGTCCAAGAAATATGCTGAACCCTGTTTTAGAAACTTCAGGACAACACACTGATAATACATAAACAAACAAGACATCTCAATAGAGAATTACAAAGTTAGCCAAATCAAATAGACATGAGATGAAAAAATAATTCCCTAGTTAGGCTAAACAGCACATTTGAGATGGCTGAAAAAAAGTATTCACTGGAATTGACTATCAACCAATGGAAATTATCTGATTCCCTTTGAAAATACCAAAAAAAGATTTTAAAATGTATCATGTAAAATATGAAAATGACATAACAAATGTCGTCTCATCATTCAGAAGCAACGGATGTCATCCAGAGTAGACTGGCATTTTTAAATTGCTGAAAGGAAAAAAACCTACAGTCAAGAGTTTATATCCAATAAAATCATCATTCAAAAATGAAGGCAAAGTAAACACTTTCCCAGATAAACTATAAGAGAAGCCAAAGCTATTAGAAATATCTTTTAGGAAATAGCTATCATTTTTCAGATTGAAAGGTTATATTGTTGCAGTAAAATATACTGGAAGAAATAGAAAGCTAGACATGGTAAATAGATAGGCTAATATAAAAGACTGTATAAATATATAATAAGCAAACCTGTACTACTGTGTTGCAGGGTTCAGAGCATATACATGACATGTTTAGCCATAAGAACCCACTTGGGGGAAAAGAAGAACCCACTGAAGGAAGGAAGAACTACAACACTTCCTATCCACATATGTTACTGAAATCAAGCCATTAGTTCAGAAAATAAACTTGATAAGATACATATTGTGGTTTATAAGAAAAATTATTTTAATATCATTAAATATAGTTTACACAATCAACAGAAGGATAAAATGGTACACTAAAAATATCTGTCTGGCCCACAAGCAGATGGGAAAATGGGAGTAGGGGACCAAACAAGGGGGACACATAATAAAAAGGTATAAAATGACCCATATAAATGAAACTGTATCAATAATGATATTAAAGGCAAACAAACTAAACACTCCAGTAAAAAGGCAGAGATTGTAAGCTCAGATAAAAAGCAAGATCTAACTTAGGCTGTCTTTGAAAAACTTTCCAAAGATCATCGTGAATTTCTAAGAGAAATAATAAAGATAAAATTACAAGTACTCAGAGGGCTGTCACTGCCAAAACAGTATCAAGAAGATACATTAAGAGAAGAAATATCACAAGGGATAGAGGGGCATTTCATAATGGTAAAGAGGAATATAACAAGTATGAAGGTACAGATATCCAAAACAAGCATCCCAAAATACATAAAGCAAAATCTGACAAAATCCAAGGGCAAAAATGACAACAAATATATTTGGACACAAATAGTTCTCTTTCAATAATGTGAAAATTGATAATGTGACTAGTAAATTATAGGTTTCTTAATTCACTTGAATAATATTCATATCACTTAGTATATGTAGTAAGTCACAACGTTCAGACACTTAGGAAAGAAAAAGGTAATAAAACTCTCAAGAAACTAGCAATATAGTAAAAATGTAAAAGAGACAGCTACAAAAAAACCCCACAGTTTACAAGGACTGAATGTTTTCCCCTGAGACCAGAGTCAAGGCAAGTGTGTCTACTCTGATACTTCTGTTCAACACTCCCCTAAAGGTTCTAGCTAGCACAAAACCCAAGGAAAACAATTATGACGTTCACAATGGGGAAAAAAAGTAAAATATTTTATTTTCTGATATGCTCCTGCATGTAAAATATCCTAAAGAATCTACAAAAGGATTACTGGGATTAATGCATGAAATTAGATTGCAGGATAAGAGATCAATACACAAAAGGCAAATGAATTTATATAGCAATAAAAATCCAAAAAGGACATTAAGAAAACTCTAATCATAATAGTATCAAAATATTAAAAAAACTCAGAAAAAAATAAACATAATATCTGAGTACAGGTTTCTTAAATATGATAAGAAAAGCACAGTCATAATGGAAAAACTTTAATAAATTTCATCAAATTCTAAAAGTTAATTTTCAAAGAAAGTATTTTTTGAAATGAACAGATAAATCACAGTGGAAAGAAATATCTGAAAATTGTACTTTAGATACAGAATTTGTATCCAAAACAAGAACAAAATCTCAGCCTAAGGCAAATATCCCAATTTTAAAATTGTCAAAATATATAAATAAGCATTTCATTAAAGAATATATGAATGCTAGCACATATAGAACAACTATATGGCACAAGAAAACTTAGAACATGACCCAAGAATTTCAATGTACTACCTACCCAAGACAAGAAAACTTCACATGTTCACAGGACTTACTGCATTAATGTTCATAATGGCATTACTTGTTGTAAACAATTAATTCAAGAAGACATAAACCAAATATGCCATAGCCACCCAGTGAAATGGAATTCAGGTATAAAAATGAATGGAAAATGGACTCATGCTTTAAAGATGAACCCCAGAAACACTTTGCTAAAAAAAAACTATGAGGCTGCAAAATTTTATTATACAGCTTTCTTTGTAGAAAATATCCAGAAAAAGCAAATTTATAAAGATGAAAGCAAATCACCAGTTACCTGGAGCAAACAGAGGAGACATGGGCTGTAAAGAGATTTGAGGGAGGTTTTCAGGGGACAGAGGTATTCTAAAGTAAGATTTGGATTTGCTTGTGCAACTTAAGGCATATCACGCAACCGTATACTAACACTGTGGTCCTTCCTCACTGCTGGTGAGACTGCCCTGGTAACTGCCAAACTAGGTGTTTATTGGTGCTACCTCAGAAAATCAAATTTATATTCTTGCTATTTCATAAAAATTGCACAAGGGATGTATGTAGGAGAAAGGTCAAACTTTACATTTATTTTTTCCCATATCCATGATTCACGGTTTTCCTGTTTCTCCTTTAGTTACATCTCTTTGAGCAGAAGTAAATATTTTACCAGAAGTAAAATATCCTGGGGAGCCAAGGATAGAAAGCAACGCTGAACTCTGGCAAGAGTTCTGCACTCCCGAAACCTGTGGGCGCTCATGAACAATTCCTAATCAACCAGGAGAGGGCATTAGCAGGGCTTGCCTGACTCACTTCCTTATCCCAGGAGCGAAGCCTGCATATGCTGAAACTGACAGGCCTTCCCAAACAGCCTTTTATGACGCAGTGATGCAACTCCTTGACTCTTAGCAAGCCTATCAACTAATACCAGCATAGGGAAGCTCATAACCACATACTTACCAAAAGAAAGGTCCGGATTGTTCTGATCTTATTAAGTTCAAGAAGCAATTTTTGTGCTTTTTCATGGTTGCTACAATATTCATCATAGATACGAAATTTGTCTTTCTGTGAATTAAAGACAGAATAGAATCACTTTATTCGTTTTGAAATTTTAACCTGTCAGTATATATAAACTTCACTGTTTTTAAGAGCTATAGAGCTATACTGTTAAAAAAAAAAAAAAAGCAAACAGCAACAACAAAAGGAGAAAGTGCTCCCGTATGATGAATCAACTGCACTCTAATATGATGAAAGCCATAACAGAGCAATGAACCACATGGTGGTGAAGAATAGAGAAGACTGAACTGTAGATACAGCTTTAAAAAAAAAAATGTTACTTCTGTGCAAGGTCCAGGCAGATAAATCCTTGATTCCCAGGCAAGGAGAGAGGAAAAAAGCCATGTTAGGTAAAGAGAAATTTATGTGCCAGATCACAGCAGAACAGCAAAACATAGTAACCTGCAGTTCACAGGCACCAATTTGGATGGTGCCCTTCAGAGGGACATTGACAAACAGAACAATAGAAGGCAACAAATGGCTAAGAAAATGACAGCCCCTAAAGACACAGCAAGTGAGAGGTCATTTCAGAGAGAGATCAGTCTTGGTGTAGAAAAGCCAGGGAATAATAGCTACTTTCTAATAGCTGTTGTGCTGCAAATGGCTGATGAATCTATGTAGCTCCCAAACATAACACTAGGGCCTTTACGTGGGAATTGTAAAGACAGTGATGATCAGATTTTGAATCAATACAGAGATATTCTGAGGTTTAGAGTTATCACTAAAAGTGACAAAATAGAAGCAAAATAAATAGTTTTTGTAGATATAGGGAATTCTTTCCAAAAGAAAGGGGTTTTAATATCATTATTTCTAAACTCTCTTCAATGTGTAACTTTTCTCAAATTGGTTATGATTAATAACTAGCTGAGCAGAACCAATAAAAGGAGATGTAGAATATTTATTGATCAAATATTAAAAGTCTATCCTTTGACATTGCATTGCATGTGTTTAGAACATTGAGCACTACTGTACATAGGTAGCACAGAACATACTGACTTAGTCGAGGATAAGTATGTCCAAGCCAGATTAAAAACAAACATCAAAAATAGATCAGCTAAATTCACAGATGACAGATTCATAGCGTGAATTATGAGTTCACTAAAGAAATGACTATCAGACTGCAAGACTCCCATAGGCAACCCTGGCCGGAAACAGCAACTTCTCCAGCTGGCAGAGGACTCTGATTCTTTTATTAAAAGGAGCAGGCTTGGGTAGATGGACACAAACACCATGGCTTCCAACCACACCCAAGAAAGCACAGCTTGACCTTCTTACACCCCAGAAGCCTCTCCCTTTAATATAATTATCTTTCTAGAACATTTTCTGCCTATTAAAAGAACATATGCTGAGCCTGCTCATGTGGAGATAAACTGAGAAACTACATTTAAAAAACTATATAAAAGACAAACTTGGGCCTGGGAGATGGCTCAGGAGAATAAGCGCTTGCCTGGGAAGCACAAGAGCCTGAGTTCAATCCCTGGTTCCACCCAAAAAATAAATAAATAAGACAAACTAGAAAATAAAAATATAAAATTATCTATTGCTATGATGCAGTACACATTTTTAAGTAAAAGCTCACTGCATCACATTTTGATAAGTACATGGATTCAAAAATGGTACCCTGAAAATTAGCATTAAAGGAATGGCATAGATAGCAACATTCATTTTCTTTTTCTTTTTGTAGTATGAAATGTCCTTTAGCTCTGGGAATAATTCTGACTGCATAGGTGGCTTCTTACTTTACAACTCAACTGCATAAGTAATTTGTGCAATGGCATATAAAGAAAGATATAAAAATAAATTATCACCCAGGTCGGGGCCATATCATTTGTGACCACCAAACACCAGCTCCTACGCCTTCTGCTCTGCTCCGTGCAGCCTCCCGAGAAGCCACCCTTGAGAAAATCCAGACACAGCCATGCCCGCCCAGTTTGCTCACCTCCAAGCCTGTCACAGGGGATTAACAAGAGAACATTCTGCCTAATAAAAGCGCGCCATGCCATTTTAAGAGTGAGGATTTTCTGCTTCAAAAGAAAAATGCTCTATGTCTGAGAGAAACATAAAAATCCATTCATTAAGAACAGCTTGAATATTCATTAGAATTCAAAGCTACAGAGGATGCGGAGAGCTAACTTGTTGGAAAAGAGAAAAGGCTGTTCATTCTTCACTGAGTGAAATGGCTGGTGGAAGGCCCTCTCCCTTCCCTGGCTGGGAGCACAAGATCCCATTGGCCTTAAAAGACCCCAAACTTGCGGTGTCAGAGTTTACTTCTAGCATTTAAGTCACACATTGTACTATGCCATGAGCCAAATCTACTTAAAATCAAGAGGGAACTTTTCAAATAAACAGAAATTTATCCTACAAAGTGAAGAAAGCAGGTTCCCACTTCTTGCTGAGCATTAGGTTCAGGATGTAAGCATTCTTCCACAACTTTTAAGAATTCTTTATGTACCACAAGGATATCTTCTATGTTGGAAAACAACATCTGTAACAAAAAAATAAATGTGTAAGTAAAGTAGTGAGGTAAAATAAAATTTAAAAATGCCTATGAGAGACCAGTGTTCTCTCAACAGGCTAAAAATTTCAGTGGGTAGCTATGCTATATCCCTTCCTTCCTCTTGCCTTGCTGACAGAATCCAAACTTTATCCATTCCCATACACCTTTGGGAATCAGGACACTGCCTGTCTCTTAAGACAGTCTAACTGGCTATGTCCATGACAGTCTCACCTCCTTTCCAGGATGGTCTGCAGGTAAAACTGCACACAGATTTGCTGGTAGGCTTCTAGAGAAGGGTATCTACCCCTAGGAAGGACATCCTGAAGCACATGAACTTTTGTCTTTCTGAAAAGTCCAATGTGGAAAGAACAACCGGGACAATATGAGATCACTTTGCAGCCAGGGGAGGTGCTAGCTCAGATGCAAAGCTGGTATCTTGGAAGGCAGCAACTTGTTGACCTCCCCAAACCACATGTAGGGAACCTCTTCTCTCATATGGAGTTCTAATACATGACTCAAATAGTTTTAAAGTCTATTTGGATCATAAATTGCTTTTACTTATATCCATAAGCTCACTAGCTAAAATATTCCCACAGTAGAAAAATTTTAAAGTGGAAATAGAAGAACCTAAAATATCCTTGAAAGATTTCTTTTAAGTGCAGTAAAAGACAACAATAAGCTAGCATCATCAATATCAAGCATAATTTACACAATTTAAATAATTAAACACTGGGGCATAATTTTATTTGTCATTCTTAATTTTTTTCCAAATTCCTCAAAATTGTCCCTATGTTGTTTCTATGTCCCTCTGTGTGTGTGTGTGTGTGTGTGTGTGTGTGTGTGTGTGTGTTGCTGGCAACCAAATCCAGGGCCCGCCCACAGAGGGCACCTCTGCTCTACCACTGACTAGCACCCTGCCCTACATTTTAAAAGAACTGCTATGGATTTATTTATGAAGACATATGGACTTCTACCGTACCCAAGGATATCCAAGCCTCACTCTTTAGCAACCACAGAGGCAGAAGTCCAGCTTTGCCCACTTCCTGTGGCTCTACCAGTTGTCTGGCACCTTGTTCTACTTTCTCCCTCTCATGGAGGCTAAAGTTAGGGCTTGTCTCTTCAGTTTATTTTTCTTCCTTTTTTCAAATACTTCCAAGACCTTCCTTTAAAAATTCTCTAGACTTACATGCCTCCACTAATATCCCTTCCTTTCCCCAAACCTTGGCCCCTTTTTCACATTATTAGTAACACAGGGACTGGCCCAGGAACTTATAGTGGCACTGAAGAAAAACAGAAAGCTCCTACAGGAATGTCTCCCAGGTAGCACGCCATCTCCAGGAACTCATGCTTGGGGCAAGGGGCCCTTGCACATCCTCACCTTCACTGTTTCCTCTGTTACATTCTTGTCAACTTTTGCTGCTGCACACTGGTTCATTCGGTGCAAGAATGCCTGTGTGAAACAAGAAGAGCCATTATAAAAGTGACATTAGGTTCAGAAAATAACTGGGTGATGATCAGAATTAGATTAATTCTTTTCAAGAAACTCAGTTTAAAAGTTCAGTATCTGAATAAGATAGGTTGTAACACGTGAGCTCCTGTGTACAGCTGCTTGTCCATGGGAGCTGTACTTCCTTATGATGCAAGGTGGAGCTGAAAGGCATCATCTATAAAAATTAAATTTATCCACCAGGCTTTCAAAGTTCTGGAGTAAACACTTAAAGGTAGGTGTTTCCTAAACTTTTAAGTATTACAAAGCATGAAAACATCAGAATCTAATAGAATGCTACTTCTAATAGAAAAGTAAAATGGCAGAAATTTTGAAGTGACTCCTTAACATTAAGAAAGTCAGAAAGAAGGAAGGAAGGAAGGAAGGAAGGAAGGAAGGAAGGAAGGAAGGAAGGAAGGAAGGAAGGAAGGAAAAAGAAAGAAAGAAAGAAA